TTTGGGCTACTGTAGGGCCCCACTTATACAGCAGGTTAGGTTCTGGGCTACTGTAGGACCCTGCTTATACAGCAAGTTAGGTTCTGGGCTACTGTAGGGCCCCACTTATACAGCAGGTTAGGTTCTGGGCTACTGTAGGGCCCTGCTTATCCAGCAGGTTAGGTTCTGGGATACTGTAGAGTCCCCACTATACAGCAAGTTAGGTTCTGGGCTACTGTAGGGCCTCACTTATACAGCAAGTTAGGTTCTGGGCTACTTTAGGGTCTCACTTATACAGCAAGTTAGGTTCTGGGCTACTGTAGGGCCTCACTTATACAGCAAGTTAGGTTCTGGGCTACTGTAGGGCCCCGCTTATTATTATTATAGTAATAATAACAATAATCATCTACAAAGAGCAAAACATTCCAATGAAATTTTGTCCTGCAATTTGTGTCCTTATGATCATAGTTGTCAGATACACCACATTTTGTTTAGTGATTTGTACTAAAACAAATGAAAGAAGAATTTAAAAATTAGCAAAGCTTAAAAGGTAAGTTCCAGTTCACTTCACGGTCTACTGAGACCGCTGATTCTTATGTTTATTAACCTAACTGGTCGGTAAACTTGATTTCCTACAATTTTCCATGACTGCAATAATAGTAGTTGTAGAGTATTATTGACTCAGAGTTTATAATCAACTACATAAATAGATCTGTAAATCCAAGTTTATATATAGAATTAGTTAAAGAGCAAAAAAGCACAATACTATGACTGGAACAATACACAAATAACCAACATATAGAAGAGAGAAGCTTATGACAATGTTAGCTCCAACTTGGACAATTTACAAGTCCAGTGTGACTTGTAAATTATCCAAGTCGGACTGAAATGTTGGCCTAAGCATCTCTCTCTTATGTGTGGGTTATTTGTGTATAAAATTAGTTGACTAAATCAACATCAAGAACATTCTGCTACTAGTATTATTATATTGCCATTAGAGTGCTAAACCCACAGAGGTGATAGTTCCTGGAGAATTGAAGGACATTAAATTTTATCCTAGGATGATGAGGATATCTTCAGTTGGGTTAGATCAAGATCCCTTTACCTCCATCACAGCACCTCCCTCCCCTCCCCCAATAAAGAAATATTATGTTAGCAATGTTGATATTCTTGTATAGGGTGTTAGGCTCCATAGTTGTTTCGATGCTCGCATGTCCTCGTGTTCTACTGGTTAACTTTCTTAATGCTCTTCTGCTATTTCTATATTTTTCATTTTATTGATAGTTATAGTTTATAGATGTTTTAGTTTGTTATTGGTTTCAATTTATATGTACACAAGTATTTTGCTGTCATAAGGTATGATGTATAGATGTAAATTATCAGCTTTTGGGAAAATATTGTTTATAATTAATGTGAAGTAATTTTTACATATTGCCGTAGTAACGTCATTTTGAAAACACATACATATCTCGACATTATATTGTATGAAGAATTAGACACATGTGCAACATCTGAGTAACTTTTTTGTGGAAACGTTTAGCCAACCAGTGGCTTCCTCAGTCCAGTAGAGAATGGTTGAAGATTGGAAGGAGTTTGAGGTAATCAGTTCCTCAGCCTTCTTAAAGAATAAAAAGGCAAAATACCATGACTGGAATAATACATAAATAACCCGCACATAGGAGAATGAACCCTATGATGATGTTTTGGTCTGACTTGGACCGTTAACTAGTCACACACAAACATGAAGGGAAGAGAGCCATTAATTGCTTAGGTATGGAATAACTGAAGATCTTGAAAAAAGAACACAAGAGGCAAAAATGCAGATAGACCATCCCATATAACAAGGGAACTTGAAAAAGACAATCACAACAAAAGTTCATTTATTTAGAGAACAAAAGATAAATGTATTGAAGGATAGAAAGTGACTGCTTGGATTACAAGAACTTTTAAAGAACACATCAGACCTATAGTTATAATCTTCAAACCACTGGGTCTCATGTACTTGAGAACAATGTGTGGTGTGAATATTGTCCAGAGAACTTCAAGAAAGAAAATTGAAAGACAGTGAGAGGGCGAACTGAGAGGATAGAGCAGAATAAGATGACTAAGAGAATATGTAAATCAAGGATGAAAGGAAGGATGGGTAAGCATTGTCTTGGGAAGAGTTGGAGGAAAGATGGAGAAGTTTTAAGTGCTAGGGGCTTGAACATCCAACACGCTTGTGTGAGCACGTTAGACTGGAGTGGAGACACATGGTTTTCATGACTTCAGGTGCTGTTGGAGTGTGAGCCAGGTAACAAATATGAAGAGATTCAGGGAAATCAGTTAACTAGGTGGGAAGTACAGTGGATATGAGCATCTTTCTAGCAACACAACAGTTGAATAAATGGTGAATGTGTTTCCTGTTTTTTCTGCAAGTGACTTTGGTGGGAGATGGCCAGTGTGTAATAAATATTATAATTACTCCCCGCCGGGGAGCTGGACAAAATATTCGAGATGTAGCTCTGAGTTACCTATGTTGTTTTACCTTCCATTGTATTTTTGTGAATGTTTGGCCAATGTATTTTGTCTTTAAATAAAACATACTTGAAATATAAGGGGTGGTAGGAGAAAATTTTCAAACAGCTTCAGGGAGAACCTTGAGTTTTCCCTGAAGCAAGTTTATTCTTTTCTCTGAGGATGAGGGTCCCTAGGACAGTTCTAGAGGTGGTACCTCCTTATAATTATATATATACATATATATATATATATATATATATATATATATATATATATATATATATATATATATATATATATATATATATATAATATATATATATATATATATATATATATATATATATAAATAAATATAATTATACACAACACAAACACACACACACATGGTTCTTGAAGCCAGGAGAGAGAGTGGACCTAGCCAGAAATTGTGACGAGTACATGTAAGGTAAACACACACACCACACACACACCACACACAACACACACACACACACACACACACACACACACACACACACAACACCACACACACACACACACACACACACACACATGCACACACAGTATAGTACTGTATTTACATGATATACATAATTTTAAAAGTTTTAATTTATGAAGAAAAATTGCAGCCATTGAGGTTGAGTGAAGCATTCAATAAGCGGCAGAGATCACACCACTGCCGGTAATCCCACTTGACTTCTTACACGTGTAAGTGAATCTCTTAAGTGAATTTATTATCATCATTTTCTACTATACTGTTAACTTATTCATTAAAAAAAATAACTTTTAAGTTCCCTTATCTAACGTACCATCTTGATACATCTTGTTGCGTTCACTTCCAGTATTGTTGTTGTCGTGTTTTGCACGTGTTGGTCACCACGACATCGCATGTTGTGATACTGGTGTTAGTAATGTGTGTGTACACATTGCACGGTCGTATTCAACTGCATTTTGCATGAATGAACTTGCTTTCCTGAGCACCATAACAACATTACATTTTCTTACTGTAGCGATTATCTTCTTGAGTCGTTGTCCATGTCATTGTTATATTGTAAATAACTCTTGAACTGGTAACTGTTATGTAACACTTATATAGTACCATGCTGCAGTCTTAAACTAGCTGAAATATATTAAGGCTTTTTATCCTATTGAATAGTACATGAGAGGGTCCTCCCCCCCCCCCCTTGCAACTTGTGACCACAATAAGTTAAAAACATCTGCTTTTTATAAATGGGATTATTTTGGAAAAAATTATGTTTTTACACTCGCCAAGATGCAACAGGACTCACAAAGTCGTAATAATATGTTTGCAAATAGATCAGGGAACGGGTGGGTCTTGAACCCACAGTAACTGGTAAAACTCACAGGCAAGTGCATTAACACACTGACCTGTGAGTTTTGCCACTCATTTGCCATGGGTTCAAACCCCATTTGGTCCATGATACACAGTAGAAGCGTGTTTGAAACCCTTTGTACCATCGCTAATCTGGCATCATTAGGACCTGTAGGGTGCCACATTAGTGATTTTGCTGGATCACAGAGAAGTTAGGCTAGAATACACTTAAGCCAACAGCGAGGTCTTCATGGAAAATGATTGTGCTGAAATGTTTTGTTTGGTTGCAGTATGGTACACTTACATTTATGTGAAAGCAATTTTTTTGTATATCAGATAAAAGCTAAATCTTTTTGAGATCATAGTTAAGTCTCTAATAAAAGTCCTTTATATAATGCAATATATTATAATTTTTTTTTTTTTTTTTTTTTTCAAGTCGGTCGTCTCCCACCGAGGCAGGGTGACCCAAAAAAGAAAGAAAATCCCCAAAAAAGAAAATACTTTCATCATCATTCAACACTTTCACCACACTCACACATTATCACTGTTTTTGCAGAGGTGCTCAGAATACAACAGTCTAGAAGCATACACATATGAAGATACACAACATATCCCTCCAAACTGCCAATATATTATAAATATGATTGAAAAAGTACAATAAAAATTGAACAGAATGTGTTGTGAAAGCCTTTCCATGCACTGTTAAATTTTGGATATGCTTTTCAATTGTAATTACAAAATTGTACTATAGAGAGGAGTTTTATGACGGAGATGACTGCACTGTAAGCTTGGTGACTTTGCCTTAATTCTAACCATTATTATTATTGCAGTTTAATATATTGATAATGAATATGGGTTTTTTTAATGTCTTATACATTCAAAATATATCTGGAAGAAATTAATTCACCACCAAGACAGATATATTATGAGGTCTTATTGAATTTCTAAGTTTAACTCTACTATACCAGTTCATTTGTTAGAATCATTTATATTTTGCTGATGGCTTCACAAGAGGTGTTGTGTTCTGTACAGATCTCATACATGTAATATGTAGGTTTAATTCGAAATAATAAGTATCTAATGTAGCATTTTCTTTTTTCTGAACTTTAAGTAATGAATAAAACAGTTACTTGAACTAAATTTTATACATTCAACGAATTTATAGCTGTGGTAAATATAATTTCAAATTTCAAAATTATCTACTTTCAAATGCTATAAATGCATAACAGAAATGCCTGCAATAATATCTGATATTTCCCTACAACAGAAAATATATACCGACTTCGAGCTACAAGGAATCATGGAGGAGAAATTGAACACCAAAACTTATCAGACAATAAGTCAGAGAATGACGACTGAAGAGGCTGCTTGCGCACTCATCGAGGGCAGCAGACGAGCCGATGAAGAGTGAGTTCTCTTCTAGTATTATACTACTGTTTCTGCATGCTAGTTTCTACTCACTATCTTCTCCTTAACTCAAAAAGTAACCCTTTTAACATATGGCCATATTTTAATCATGTTCAGATTATGGCAAAGCTAGTAACTTTCAATACTCAATAATAACCCAGATGGAGACAGAAACGCAGTAGATTGATCTGTATATTTCAACCATCTTCTGGGATCCTCACCTGCTGAAGAGGAACCCAGAAGGGGGTTGACATATACAGATCAGTCAACCTCCTGTGTTTGTCTCCATGTGGGTTATTATTGACTATTGTCAAGCATTCATTACACTTTAGTTAGCTTTCCACATATAAATAAAAGCTGATTTCAACATTGCATTGCTATTGTTAGTGCCATGAAAAATCTACATATGCTTTTAGAGATTTTCTTTGAAAATGAGCATTACAGTGGACCCCCGGTTTACGATATTATTTCATTCCAGAAGTATGTTCAGGTGCCAGTACTGACCGAAATTGTTCCCATAAGGAATATTGTGAATTAGATTAGTCCATTTCAGACCCCCAAACATACACGTACAAATGCACTTACATAAATACACTTACATAATTGGTCGCATTGGGAGCTGATCGTAAACCGGGGGTCCACTGTATTTGTCAGTTACTTTATCAAGAAATATTTTACACTTCCATTACACACAACACTGATGCATGTAAATACTATTCTTTCATTTGTTTCATCAGACAAAATTCATCTTTAGCATTTAACAATTGAAAATTTTTCATCAGACAATGTAATTTTAATTTAAAAAGTTTGAGCTCAAAGATCCATATTTTTGTTTATCTGCTTCTCTTTCTCTATAATATACAGATTAATGCATCTCACTTTATCCTCGGCATTATCTTATTATGGTGAATAAGACATGTGCGATACCTGGGTAACTATTTCTGAAATGTTTTACCTGCGTAGCAAGCTTCTTCAGTTAACTTCAGTGGCTGCTTTCATATTGGAGACATTGGAAGTACAGTGGACCCCCGGTTAACAATATTTTTTCATTCCAGAAGTATGTTCAGGTGCCAGTACTGACCGAATTTGTTCCCATAAGGAATATTGTGAAGTAGATTAGTCCATATCAGACCCCCAAACATACACGTACAAACGCACTTACATAAATACACTTACATAATTGGTCACATTGGGAGGTGATCGTTAAGCGGGGGTCCACTGTAGAGGAGAGGTAATTTTAAGGTCTTCTGTCCCGTAGCCTTAAAGAACTGATAGCTCTTCAATCCCTTAGCCTTGGCCACAATGTTCAACTAAAGGAACATGCTGCATAGGTAAAACTTTTTGCTACTAATGATACCCAAGTGTTCCACATGCCTTATTCATCAGCATGTCAGTATTGTATACTGTTAATACAGTGGACCCCCGGTTAACGATATTTTTTCACTCCAGAAGTATGTTCAGGTGCCAGTACTGACCAAATTTGTTCCCATAAGAAATATTGTGAAGTAGATTAGTCCATTTCAGACCCCCAAACATACACATACAAACGCACTTACATAAATACACTTACATAATTGGTCACATTCGGAGGTAATCGTTATGCGGGGGTCCACTGTACATTGATACCATCTTATCAGATGCAGAGATCTTCGGCTCACTACATCTCTCTCATCAAGACTTGCACAATTCCTTTCTTCCTGGCTTGCCACCCCAGAAACTCGATGCATTATCCACCCACTCACTCCCTAACCCCAACATATATATAAGCATTCAGTTAGTTATTGACTGTTACTCTCAAGTTAGGCTTAAGTTTGCCTAAAATGCTCTGCATACTAAGGGGCTTTCTACATGCATACCTAAGTGTTACCCATCTGGAGTATATCTGGAGGGGGTTTTGGGGATCAATGCTCCCTGCAGTGCAGTTCATGACCAGGCCTTGTGGTGGATCAGGGCCTGATCAACCAGTCTGTTACTGCAGACCACATGTAAACCAATGTAGCCACATTAACTAGCCACACAGTGTTGGCTACTTAATGATCCAAGTTGGACTGAAACATCATCATAAGTTTTTTCTCCTATGTGTCGGTTAATTGGTATAGTTCCAATCACAGTATTGTACATTTTTACTCTTTTTTCTTGAAAGTAGCCTTTCACTTTTCTTATATCATGGCATCAGCTCAGGAGAGCTACAGAGAGCTCATACACTGCTCTCCTGGGCTACAAAAATCACTTTGCACACTACAAAACAATAACGGTTTTAACCTGTAAACGGTCCAAACGTATATATACGTTTTTTCAACATTTGAAAATATGTAAAAAAAGTAGATCTTCTTTTTGTTTTTTTACATTTGAAAATGTGTAAAAAAAACTTTGATCTTCTTTTTTTTGTTATATTTGAAAATATGTAAAAAAAGTAGATCTTCTTTTTGTTTTTTTACATTTGAAAATGTGTAAAAAAAACTTTGATCTTCCTTTTTTTTTGTTATATTTGAAAATATGTAAAAAAAAAAAGTAGATTTACTTTTGTAGCACTACACATGTGAACGTAGATCTGCTTGGACCGTTTACGGGTTAAATAAAATGACTATTCAACACAACGACTATATTTAAGACAGTAATATTTATAGAATATTGTTTTACGCTAAATAAAGCAGTTGAGTCATGGTAGGTGTGTAGCAGTAATTCAACTTTCAAGTTCACTCTGATAAGGTCTAAAATTGAATCACTATGTCATCACATTCTCCTATAACTTTACAGTGACATGTAAATTCTTCCTGCATTAACAGAATACAATTACAAATGCTACTCACACATACAACACAGTATTAAAAATATTTCTAAAGGTGGATAAGCAGAAGCGTAGATGGTAGAGCGTCGGACTGTCAATTTATGGACCACAGTTTGTGTGCCTCGTCCATCCTTCTGGTTATTCATTACTTGTGGTTTTTAAACTACTACTTATTAAGTAAGCAATTTGGTGCGGTTGTTCACCAGATCAACAGCCAATTACTCTAAATACTCATTTTAAAGGCTGAGTAATGCCTCAAGTAGCAGTCAAATCATTTTTAATAGCTGCCATGATATTCATCATCACATCATCTGATATGATGACAAGCATCATATCAGATATGATATTCATCAGAATATTCATTAGAATATTCATCAGAATATTCATCAGAATATTCAATATAAACGAGTTGTTATAGATATTTGAATAAAACAAAAATGACATGTCATATATTTTTTACAGTCAGAAAGTATCAATACTTTTTTACATTAGGTATTGCTGCTTTTAATATAGCATTTAAGAATAAATTTAAGCCTTTATTATACTGTATATTAATCAGAGATAATTGCTAATAAGCTTTCTTTCTTCTCCCATCCTTGCATGCAATGCACAGTAATCAATCGTATGTATTTTTCCACTCGTTCGCAGCATTATTTATCTTTGGCGCATGGTGTTTATGTCATGGTAACAGAGTACAGTAGTCCCCCCATATCTGCGGGGGATACGTTCCATGGATACCCAAAATGGCAGATAATAGTTAACCCTATATATAAGTCAATTTTTATTTACATACATACCTATGATAAAGTTTAATTGGTAAATTACATACCTTAAGTTGAGAATTAGCACTTTTTCCCTGATTTGAAGAACTGCCACCATCAATACTTTTGCACGGAGGAGGCGCAGTAAACTGGAGAACTGAACCATGGAAACCAAATCCGCAGATACAGGGTTCTACTGTATTAGATTCCTTTTGTAAGAACTGTATTAAGCAGTGTGTATTATAGGTCCTCAAAATGTATAAATTGATACGAATAAGGTACGTTGACGATGCTGAATTCTACCCAGACAGTATCAGCAGGTGCTTAATGATGCCAGTGTGGTATTATGTTTGTTCAGGGACTAAACACTATATTTTATCAGAAGCTTATTGCACTGTCACAAAAATCAGTAGCTTTGCTAAAACACTTATTTGTATTGTAAGTAATGATAAATTCCAAACAGAGGACAAGTATGTGCATACGTGTGTGTGTGTGTGTGTGTGTGTGCATGCATGTGTGTCCACATGCATGCATGCATACAAGCATGAGTGTGTGTGTGAATGCTTTTCCATGTAGGAAATAAAGAAATTTAACCCATCATTGTAACTTAGACAGTTTTTTATATACTGGATGATTTGAGTTCTTATGGGAGAGTAAATACCTTGGTGATCTAGTTTGGTATATTTTAGGATACAACTGGGTTAGGGTTAGGTAAGATTTGCCAGGAAACAGAACAAATGTTTCCTGACACGGGTCTTAGTCAGATGATGACCCATTGTTGGAGCTTTTGGTCATCTGACCGAGGCCTTCTGCTGGCTTACCGGTCTACCCCTTTAAAAAAATATGGTCAGTTATAACATATTTAGGATACAGCATTACGCATCATGTCAGGCAGACAAATTAGAACTAAAACTACTTGATACTAATAGGTGACTTATACAATCATAGTTTACTCACAGGTGATAGATTTATCAGTACATAAATTTAGGGTTAAGAATTAATCTAAGTTTGCCCAAAATGCCTAGCCATGCTAGGTGTTCTAGTGGCCCCCTCTGTAATTAGTATTTTATTACATGTAAACCACACAATAACCAAAATCTGTAAACCCCGCATTGTAATCCTTATAGAGAATAAACTTTGATTTGATTTGATTTGATTAGTATACCTGAAGTGTACCTGGAGGGTGTTTGGGGGTCAATGCCCCCGTGGCGCAGTCCATGACCAGGCCTCATGGTGGACCGGGGCCTGATCAACCAGGCTGTTACTCCAGCCTGCATGTACACCATAGATATGGAATTTTGCATGGGATATTTTGTGTAATACATAATTGTTAATTCTTTGCATTTGTATTCTAACACATGCAGTATAAATTTCAGAATAAAATACTGTATTTAAATTCACTGTGCAGGAGTAAGTTAATAGAGTATATGATAAGAGGTCAGGCCAGATTATCAGGCATACCATGAGGCCTGATCACCCACCGGGCCGCGGGGGGGGCGTTGACCCCTGGAACTCTCTCCAGGTATCTCCAGGTATACGTGGTGAACGCTTTCATATATGGTTATTTTTGCTACACATTTCTTGCTGGTGTATTACACATTTAGGTACCAAATCAAACTAGATCACTAAACACACACATATGAGAAGAACTTGTGATGACGTTTTAGTCCGACTTGAACCATTAACCCGTAAACGGTCCAAGCAGATCTACGTTCACATGTGTAGTGCTACAAAAGTAGATCTACGTTTTTTTACATATTTTCAAATGTAAAAAAAACAAAAAGAAGATCTTCTTTTTTTACATACTTTCAAATGTTGAAAAAACATATACAGTGGACCCCCGGTTAACGATATTTTTTCACTCCAGAAGTATGTTCAGGTGCCAGTACTGACCGAATTTGTTCCCATAAGGAATATTGTGAAGTAGATTAGTCCATTTCAGACCCCCAAACATACACGTACAAACGCACTTACATAAATACACTTACATAATTGGTCGCATTCGGAGGTAATCGTTATGCGGGGGTCCACTGTATATACGTTTGGACTGTTTACGGGTTAATTAGTTAATGGGCCAAGTTAGACCAAAACAAAAAAAACGTCACAAGTTTCTTTTTCCTATGTTCGAGTTATTTGTGTATTTCAGTCCTTTTTGTTTTTTACTAAACAAGCAGTTGACGGATAATCAATGATCTGTACTTACATACTGCTCTGGATAGTTTATAACATATATTATTATAGATCAAGTACAGTAGTGTTTTGCCTAAGATTTGTTTAGTGATGTTATTCAACACTTATATGCAGAAATAGAATGATTATTACTGTGTTGACTAAAAAAATCTATACCGTGGCCTGAGGTTGGGTTGTGAGGGCAGAAGAAACCTTAAAACCAGTCACAGGTAGAGGCCATTTACCACAGTAGGAGTAGAATAAATAATTTATTCTTGTAAACTCTGTTGCCATCATTACTTTGCATTTCAAACTTTGTTGCAGTATTTTTTTTTTCATAGTAAACTTGGAAGTCTCTCACAAGTTACCCATAAGTTTGAGAGGAAACTTTAGATAAAATATCAGTCATTCTCAATCATTATCAAGTTATTTCAATTTAGGGAAACTCAAAATTTTCTAAGCTTTCTGCAGAATTGTGGGTTAAATGTGAATTATTTCAGCCACAATATTTTGACTTCTATTCTTCTTGGAAATATATTACATATAGAAGTGACTTAAACTGACCTTTGTATGAGTCAAGTACTTATAAATAACAGTTAAACCCAATAAAATATATTTTAAGCGACTAGAAAGATTAAGTTACGTAAAAGATAGTCAACATAATTAATGACATTAACCCTTAAACGGTCCAAACGTATATATATGTTTTTCATCATCTGAAAATGTGTAAAAAAAACTTTATCACATTTTTTATTTTGTGTATACTTTGAGATTTGCAAAAAAAACGTAGATCTACTTTGTTTTATCATATTTTCAATGTAACAAAAAAGATATGTGATAAAATTATTTTTTACACGTTTTCAGATGTAAAAAAAAAAGAAATCACATTTTTTTTTAAAACTTTCAGAATGATGAAAAAAACGTATATCTACTTTTTGAGACCATTTTAATGTTAAGGGATGTTAATTCTCGAGTCTCTCAGTGGACGTTTTTTGTTATATCCACATGACCTTGAGCTGCCATCCACAAGATTAATACGAAGTGCACAATAAACTATAAAAATACGAAGCACACAATAAGCTATAAAAATACGAAGTGCACAATAAACTATAAAAATACGAAGCACACAATAAAAACTAATAAAAATAAACGAAGTGCACAATAAACTATAAAAATACGAAGCACACAATAAGCTATAAAAATACGAAGTGCACAATAAACTATAAAAATACGAAGCACACAATAAACTATAAAAATACGAAGTGCACAATAAACTATAAAAATACGAAGTGCACAATAAACTATAAAAATACGAAGTGCACAATAAACTATAAAAATACGAAGTGCACAATAAACTATAAAAATATGAAGCACACAATAAACTATAAAAATACGAAGTGCACAATAAACTATAAAAATACGAAGTGCACAATAAACTATAAAAATACGAAGTGCACAATAAACTATAAAAATACGAAGTGCACAATAAACTATAAAAATATAGAAAAATGTACCAAAAATTTATTGTATTATCTCCCTGCTCCATGAGCTTTGCCATGCCTCTTCTTAAAGCTATGTATGGATCCTGCCTTCACTACATCACTCTAGATTGTTTCACTTCCTGACAACTCTATAACTGAAGAAATACTTTCTAACACCCCTGTGGCTCATCTGAGTTCTCAGCTGTTTCCATCCTTAAGAGAGATTAAAATTATGATGATAAGTTTAAAAAACTCAATAATATAATATTTAAAAAAAAAAAACCATACCACGGATGGGGATAGAACCCGCGGTCAGAGAGTCTCTAAACTTCAGACCGTCACATTAGCCACTGGACCAGCTAGCCACAATAAGATTCATCCAACTAGAAATATACGTAGTTGGATGAATCTTATTGTGGCTAGCTGGTCCAGTGGCTAACGCGATGGTCTGGAGTTTTGAGACTCTCTGATCGCGGGTTCTATCCCCGTCCGTGTTATGGTTTGTTTGCAATCATGTCATTATGATTTCGTGATCAAGATACAATATTTAATACAGTATAAAAAAAAATTCATGAATGACTATTTTTAAGCATATTTCAGTCTTCGTAAAATCAGCAACATTATCATAGATGAGATTCTTATTTCTTTTTCAAGATCAATACCATAATAAAAGATTTTATAGATCTTGCTAATGAAGTGGCTAGTTTATTGTGCATCCCATATCCATCCTGTGGATGGTAGTGCAAGAGCATATGGATACACAAAATGCTAGGAACTAGGTCCCGAAAAGGGTTAACTGGTACACTTCTGGATTTATATCTACAATTGACTTGCACACAGATAACTTGCACATAGTTAATAGTCCAAGTCAGTCTGAAACGTCTTCATAAGTTTCATTCCCTTATACATGCGGGTTATTTGTGTATTGTTCCAATCATGTACGGTGCTTTTTATTCTTTACAATTGATGTATCTGTTGCAAGTAAATACAAAATAAAACAAATAGCAATTTCTAAAAATTTTGATGGCTCCAGAATATACTTCACTAATGTCTGTCTACCTAGCATATATTTCCTCTGTACTGTACTATTGTATTTAAAATAATTTCACCTTTAGAATTGTCCCCTATTCTTCTCCTGATTGACCCCTCTTTTTTTCCCCTTTCCCCTCACCATCATAGCCTTCCTGAGGGGGCAGAAGGAGAGTAAGTAGTCATTATGGCAAATGCCTCACTGCATGATCACGCTTTTCTTTCTTTCTCTATAGATGTAGCTTGTGTAAAATATGTGTTTGAATTTACCATAAGCTATCTTATAAAGCTCCTCTCTATTTGTAAACACAGTGGAAAAAGCACATCCGAAATTGAATAGTATTGGCGGGGCCCCATTTATACAGCAGGATAGGTTCTGGGCTACTGTAGGGCCCTGCTTATACAGCAGGATAGGTTATGGGCTACTGTAGGGCCCTGCTTATAAAGCAAGATAGGTTATGGGCTACTGTAGGGCCCTGCTTATAAAGCAGGATAGGTTATGGGCTACTGTAGGGCCCTGCTTATACAGCAGGATAGGTTCTGGCCTACTGTAGGGCCCTGCTTATACAGCAGGATAGGTTCTGGCTCATGATTCAGGATACAGTGTTCGTCACAGAGCTCATGATTCAGAGTACAGTCTTCGTCACAGAGCCCATGATTCAGAGTACAGTGTTTGTCACAGAACCCATGATTCAGAGTACAGTCTTCATCACAAAGCCCATGATTCAGAGTACAGTCTTCGTCACAGAGCCCATGATTCAGAGTACAATGTTCATCACAGAGCCCATGATTCAGAGTACAGTGTTCATCACAGAGCCATGATTCAGAGTACAGTGTTCGTCACAGAGCCCATGATTCAGAGTACAGTGTTCGTCACAGAGCCCATGATTCAGAGTACAGTGTTCGTCACAGAGCCCATGATTCAGAGTACAGTGTTTGTCACAGAGCCCATGATTCAGAGTACAGTATTTGTCACAGAGCCCATGATTCAGAGTACAGTCTTCGTCACAGAGCCCATGATTCAGAGTACAGTGTTTGTCACAGAGCCCATGATTCAGAGTACAGTGTTTGTCACAGAGCCCATGATTCAGAGTACAGTGTTCGTCACAGAGTCCATGATTCAGAGTACAGTGTTTGTCACAGAGCCCATGATTCAGAGTACAATGTTCATCACAGAGCCCATGATTCAGAGTACAGTGTTCATCACAGAGCCCATGATTCAGAGTACAGTGTTCGTCACAGAGCCCATGATTCAGAGTACAATGTTCATCACAGAGCCCATGATTCAGAGTACAGTGTTCATCACAGAGCCCATGATTCAGAGTACAGTGTTCGTCACAGAGCCCATGATTCAGAGTACATGTTCATCACAGAGCCCATGATTCAGAGTACAGTGTTCATCACAGAGCCCATGATTCAGAGTACAGTCTTCGTCACAGAGCCCATGATTCAGAATACAGTCTTCGTCACAGAGCCCATGATTCAGAGTGCAGTCTTCGTCACAGAGCCCATGATTCAGAGTACAGTGTTCGTCACAGAGCCCATGATTCAGAGTACAGTGTTTGTCACAGAGCCCATGATTCAGAGTACAATGTTCATCACAGAGCCCATGATTCAGGTACATGTTTCATCACAGAGCCATGATTTCAGAGTACAGTGTTTGTCTCAGAGCCCATGATTCAGAGTACAATGTTCATCACAGAGCCCATGATTCAGAGTACAGTGTTCATCACAGAGACCATGATTCAGAGTACAGTGTTTGTCACAGAGCCCATGATTCAGAGTACAATGTTCATCACAGAGCCCATGATTCAGAGTACAGTGTTCATCACAGAGCCCATGATTCAGAGTACAGTTCTTCGTCACAGAGCCATGATTCAGAATACAGTCTTCGTCACAGAGCCCATGATTCGAATACAGTGTTCGTCACAGAGCCATGATTCAGAGTAAATGTTCATCACTAGAGCCCATGATTCAGAGTACAGTGTTCATCACAGAGCCCATGATTCAGAGTACAGTTTCGTCACAGAGCCCATGATTCAGAATACAGTCTTCGTCACTAGAGCCATGATTCAGAAATACAGTCTTCGTCACAGAGCCATGATTCAGAGTCAATGTTCATCACAGAGCCATGATTCAGAGTACAGTCTTCGTCACAGAGCCCATGATTCAGAGTACAGTGTTCGTCACAGAGCCCATGATTCAGAGTACAGTGTTTGTCACAGAGCCCATGATTCAGAGTACAGTATTTGTCACAGAGCCCATGATTCAGAGTACAGTCTTCGTCACAGAGCCCATGATTCAGAATACAGTCTTCGTCACAGAGCCCATGATTCAGAATACAGTCTTCGTCACAGAGCCCATGATTCAGAGTACAATGTTCATCACAGAGCCCATGATTCAGAGTACAGTCTTCGTCACAGAGCCCATGATTCAGAGTACAGTGTTCATCACAGAGCCCATGATTCAGAGTACAGTGTTTGTCACAGAGCCCATGATTCAGAGTACAGTATTTGTCACAGAGCCCATGATTCAGAGTACAGTCTTCATCACAGAGCCCATGATTCAGAATACAGTCTTCGTCTCAGAGCCCATGATTCAGAATACAGTCTTCGTCACAGAGCCCATGATTCAGAGTACAATGTTCATCACAGAGCCCATGATTCAGAGTACAGTCTTCGTCACAGAGCCCATGATTCAGAGTACAGTGTTCGTCACAGAGCCCATGATTCAGAGTACAGTGTTTGTCACAGAGCCCATGATTCAGAGTACAGTATTTGTCACAGAGCCCATGATTCAGAGTACAGTCTTCGTCACAGAGCCCATGATTCAGAGTACAATGTTCATCACAGAGCCCATGATTCAGAGTACAGTCTTCGTCACAGAGCCCATGATTCAGAGTACAGTGTTTGTCACAGAGCCCATGATTCAGAGTACAGTATTTGTCACAGAGCCCATGATTCAGAGTACAGTCTTCGTCACAGAGCCCATGATTCAGAATACAGTCTTCGTCACAGAGCCCATGATTCAGAATACAGTCTTCGTCACAGAGCCCATGATTCAGAATACAGTCTTCGTCACAGAGCCCATGATTCAGAGTACAGTGTTTGTCTCCATTCGTGTATGAAAACCAGACATTATACAATATGTGAAGTTTAATATGCAGACATTACTCATACTGCATGCAAAAAATCTGCATTTTAGTGCATGGAATTCATGTACAGTACCATGGAAAATATGTGTTTGTATAAATTATCTTTCTTGATGCTTTATTATAGCCAATAGACATCAAATGTTTTAAAAGCAATCATTGTATTAATGTAAGGGTATTCTTCACCATTTTAGGAAAAAGGTAACTCATTATAGCCTTGAAACCACATATGTACCAGTGGATCAGTTATGATCTGGTTTAACCCTTAAACTGTCCAAACGTAGATCTACGTTCACTCGTGTAGCACTCTGAACGTAGATCTACTTTTTTTTACATTTGAAAGCATGTAAAATAAAACTTAGATCTACGTTCGGACAGTTTAAGGGTTAAGGTGATGAATGTTTATTCTATGTCCTCTCTCTTTCTGACTACAGTAAACTCTCTTATAAAGCTCTTTTATATAAACAAAAAAGGTAAACTGTTTCTGTAAAGTGGAGTGCAGCATATTATACAGTTAACATGATTAACATATATACACTACAGCCTCTTCTCACTTAGTAACGTACTCATTTACCGATGACTTGGACTTACGACGGGTTCTCTGACCAGTATGCATACCTAAATAATGTATATTAGAACTGACATTAAAGCAATATCAAAGATGGTTGAAATAAACCCACTACCCTTATAGTATGCTCCTCGTTTAGCGATGAATTAGTTTACCATCGTGGTATTAGGATTGGAACTCCATCATAAAGTGAGGAGAGGCTGTACTTTATAAAAAGACTTTTACTTATGCATTTTGGGCAACCTTAAAGCTAAGTTTGAAGTATTGTAATGTTTTTGCAATTGTGATTGAAAAAATACATTGAAATTTGAATGGCGTGAGGCATACACTGT